CCTAAAATACCAAACTCAAGGCTGAAGAATGTTTGTCCAGAAACAAATGGGTAACATCACAGTCACTATGTTCATCTCTTATTTAATATTCGATCTGTGTGCACAAGATGTAGCGAGTGCAGAGGAGTGGGTGGTAACAGAGTCGGACACTTCATAGATTCTAGAGGAAGCCGTGGTGTGGAGTTAAATATGAGCAAGAATGGTGTTTTTCGTGGGGAAGATTCATAATTTTGATGACTTTTTAGGGGTTATATTACTAAAGACAAGAGGGAGACTTCAAAGCAAGTTCAATACTTCAGTTTTTATTGTAATTAATTGGACCTAAAGCTGTGCAGAAGTATATCATCGTTAGCAAATGTCATTTTCCACAGTGTGTGCATGCTACATAAAGGTGGTCTATCAGAACCCCTTGACGTTCCATAGAGACGTATCATGACTCTGTCCACCCCACATCTGTGTTTCTGCAGATATATTCCTGCCGTTGTCGTCCCTGCGGCTGCTGATTCCTCCTCTGCGGCTGCTGTCTGCGGCGATGTGGCAGGTGGCTCAGCAGAGAGATGTCCTCGATTATGAAAAGCTTGATGAGTTTGTGACACTGGTGACGGCGACAGTCCCAGACCTGCTCACCCCAAAGCAGCGAGGGAAGCTGCTCCTCCGACTGCGAGCCAAAGTGAGTAAGTTACAAAGAAAAGGCCTGACAGTCATGTAACACTTCAGGTGTATTGTTAACACAGTATCTGACTGATTAGACACGTTTCTCTTCTTTCTGTGTTTTCAGATAATTCTGGAGCTGTGCAGAAATGAGGAAACCGCCAACATTTTGTGTGTACAGCCTCATTTGGAGCGAATCCGCCCACCAGGATACACAGGAGTAAGTGTTTCACAACAGAACTAGGTGATACCATGGCAGACCTTTCTGTCTCTGCTTAAAGTAGTTGTTGATCAGCTGGATCGCTGATTTGCTGGCCTTACAATGATTCCAGTCACAATGGCTTCTTTCAGAGTGGGGATGCAGAGGTGGATGCAGAGGAGGCCATTTTTGTGGAGCTAACCCAAACACTACTGAAAGACCCGGCAGAGAGGGAGCATTTCTACCAGGTGAGGGCAGCTTCACAGCTTTACATGGAGCCCAGCTGTTTGTTTTAATAGGTTTTTTTTTTGTGTAATTAAATATCTTTATAGCTGTTGAGTAACTGTTA